ATATTCTTCTGGCTATGGCCCCCCAGCCATTAACATATCCTCAGCAGTGAGGGAGGAGGAGAATCACTGCATCCTCCTTCTAGAGATTCACTGGATGCTTCCGCATGCTGTGGTAGTTGTCATGATAGATATCACCATTAGTAGCCAATTCGTGATGCTGGAGCTCCAACCCAGGCTAACATTCTGCCACTGAGCTACATCCCCAGCATCTTAGGATGATGAGCCCTTTCTTACGTCAACTTTTCTAGGACACAATAGCCAAGCTCTTGGTCAAATATTGGTGTGGAATGTTACCCTGAAGTTTATTTGCTGTGATTCGCATTTATACCGGTGACTGGGTGAAGGAGATACTCGTGCTGTATGAGGAAGGGCCTCATCGAACTCACTTTAAACAAACCAACAAACAGCTGGCCTCTCTACAGAAAAAGGCCACCCTGCCAGCAGACGGCTTTTGATTCAGCTGCAGCACCATGCCTGACTTTGTGCTCTGGCCTGCTGACCTCCCTGGAGATTTTTAACTTGCCAGCCTCCACTTTTCATGATGCAAATGCTTAAAAACCTCTTTTAGCTGTGTCTATCACTCTCCCTGTCTCTCACTGTCTCTTTTTTCTCCACACACACACACATCCTATTGTTCCTTGAGAAAATCTTGACAAATACACAAACCAAAGGCTCTGAAAAGGTCTATAATAAAAAAAAAGTTTTAAGTCAGAAACCCATTTAAGTCAGTGTTTTTCCAGTTTGCTCAACTACAGACCTTTCTTCCATAACTCATACCATCCTGAAACATAGCTTGGGAAGTGCATGCCTGCTGACTGGCCCTTCAGAGCTTCTCTGTAGTCTGTATCAGCAGTATTGAATCCTGCTTTATTTCAGAAAGAATTGCACAAGTGTTGGAACAAAAGATTGCACATATTTTCTTCTGTAGAAGACACACAAGAAAAATAACTGCTTGTCTGAGCACATTGAGGTAAAAACGTCCACTATGAGCCCATCGCACACATGGTTAGCACTTACAGAAAAGCAGCAACCACCTGTGAAATAGACCCATGGCTGTGCTTTTGTGAAACGTTCTTTATGGATGGCTTAGTCTGTCTAGGTTGCTATAATAAACTACCATACACTGGTAGCTTATGAACAAAATTTATTCCACTCAGCTCTGGAAGCCCAGGAGTTCAAGATCAAGATACTAGCAGATTTGGGGGCCTGTCTATAAGGAAGAATTTCTGGGTTCATTAATTGTGCCCTCTAGCTTCTTTGACATAACAAAATAATGCAAGGTAGCACTCTTCCTCTCTCCTTTTCCTCTCACTCCCCTTTTATCCATTGCTCTATCCTTTGGCTCTTGGTTTCAAAGGTCCTGTCCCTCATGGCAAGAGGGTGTGGTTAGACAGAAAAGCACCTATCATGGCAGGAAAGAGCAAAGAAAATGCCCTAGCTTCTGGCTTTCCACTCCCTCCACTTTTATCCCATCCTGTCTAATAGCATGATGGGGTGCTGCTCTCATTCAGGCTGTGTCTTCTCCTTTGGACAATCCTTTCTGAAAAACAAAGTGGGTCTCTTTTTTTAAGAGAATTAATCCCACGAACTACCGCTCTCCTGTTAGGAACTAACCAATTGTCCCAAAGGATCTGTACACATGAATTCAGGGTAGCCATGATGTTGAGACCATGGTCATCGATACCAAGGAACAGAGCATTCGTGTGGAAGGTCACCACTCAGCATAACAAGCACGAGACGATGCACACATGTCAGGAGCCCAGAGAGGGACACCCATGGCTCCTTTCTCCCATGTCTTCTCTTCTCCAGAAGCCAAGACTCCAAAAGCCATTTGTGACTATATCATCTATCAAAACAGGTAAGCCTACTGTCATTCTTGAAAACAAATGCAGCCTATGCCCCTGGATTCAGCCTATGCTGAATCAGTTATTGGAATCAATGCCTGTATTCCCTACAGTGCTGTGTCTTCTTTGTGCACGCCCAGGCTTAGGATTCCCTTCATCAGACTAGAGCCTTCCTAAGAAAGGAAGCCAAGAAAATGGAGGAAGAAGGGCAACCAGGCTCTCCGACACTCCCATCCAGCACAGGGCAGGACCCTGAACATTTCATACCCAAGGTAGGTGATGAAACCTGAGGCGGGAAGTCTGACCTCTCTTCATTCTGCACTGAAGACTGTCATGTGACAGGTGTCCTTCCTGTGCCTGATGGGGAAAAAATGTCCATGTACAGGAACTCCAAGAGGAGTCTGGACAAACAGAAATTCCTGAATCCCTCCCACTTTATTGCCCTCAGCTCTTCATATTCATTGGTTCTCAGTCACTCTTCCACAGGATTTTTCACACAACAGTTTCCCGTGAGTGAGTGTGTGAGTGTGTGGTGTGAGTGTGGTATATGTGTGTGCAAATGTGTGTGTGGTTTGTGTACAAATGTATGTAAGTGCTGGGGCATGTAGTGATTGCGTGCTCTACCACTGAGCTACATTCTCAGCTCACAGTGCTCATTTATGAAGCTTCATGTGTCATGTAAAAGTAGTATTAAAACGCATATGTTATGCTTTTTTCTTCAGTTCCTCCCTTGTTATAGGAGCCTCATCCTTGACTTGTTCTGTGTGAAGAGCATGAACACATTTTCTCTCTCAGTATAAAGGGATCATTTCCATTTGGAGTAAAACAGATCCATGAACTCCTGGACCCTGGTGGACAGTGAGAACTCTGAAGAAAGAGGATTGCTCTAACTGTGCTCATGATCTATGTAAACAATCTTTATAAACAAAAATAGTTTTCCTCTACTACGATATCTTTAAAAAGTTTTACACTGTTAACCTTAAAAAAATTAGTGCTAAGAGCCTATGAAATGCTCATGAGTGTGTACATACCTGTAAAGCACACATGTACACACCACACATGACATAAATATGCCCATAAATAGCACACACATACCACAAACATGTACCTATGCACACACAACACACACATGCATACACTTACCACACAATACTACAAACACGCACATATCACATACACACACATGCACACATACCACAAATATACACACACTACATAGGCACAAATGCATACTGCACACAACCTGGCAAATACACCACCGACATGCACAACAGAGACACACACAACACGGCACACATAACACAAATGTGCTCACAAACGCACAAGCTACATATCCAGATAGTCACTCTCCCCACTAAAAACGACAGGAACAAATAATCACACACAAGCGTGTGAAGAGAGAGGTAAGGGGAATTAGTCAGTTTGGGGAGAGAAGCTGAATCCAATTATAGATGTACTGTTTTCTGGGTCAAGTAGAATTGCACAAAAGTTTTCAAAGCTATAAAAAGAAAAGCAGAGGCTCAGCCTTAATCCTGGAGCTGCTCGCCTCCCTCACCTGGCCAAACCCAGCCTAACATAGCTCGGTGTGCACCAGAGAGGGACTTCCCCTCGCCTGACCTCATGCAGCCCAACACCGTATATGTCACGGAAGAGGGGTCTCTTCTCACCTAGCTGTGCACATCCTTGCACTGTACCATGCGCATCAAGGATGGGTTTCTCCTCCAGAGACCAGCGCCAGACAGAAAAGTGTGGGAAAAGTGATGCATTGCAACCAGGCTTTCGTTCTTGGAAAATCTTCCCTAGGATTTGGTGTGTACACTGGGTGTAGGGGGAAGGGAAGGCAGTATTCACTCCCCTAGATCTTGAGTATTCACACTTCTTCCTGTGTAGAGACAGACTAGAATGGCAAGGACTCTGAAACTGACGGCCACCAACTTCTCCCTCCAGCCATGTGCCATTTGCGGTTTTGAAGTCGAATTGGCTGTGATTACTGGCATAAGACTCTCACAAAGTTGGGCCCACCAACATGGTGGGCGAGGCTTTCTCCCCTTCCCAAGTTAAAATGTTAGCGGGGGCCTCTATTTCTGTGATGTAGCTTCCCGTGTTCCTATAAGTAATTCCAATTAAACCACAAGCTCACCAATCCAGACTTGGGTATTACTGTTTCTTTGGTCTGTTGTTGCCTTCTGTATTTGAAATTAATAAAATCCCTGCCACACAACACAGGAAATCTAAAGCAGCCAACCGTGTTACCTGAAGAGATGGAGTAGGGCACCTAGAGGGCTTCGGATGATGACGCTCCCATTCTGCTCCACCCTATCTCCATCACCCTGCAAACAAAGGTATCATCTTTACCGAGCACAGGCATGGCGAGCCAAGCCCAGGGAAAGTCAAGGAATTTATTTACACAAACTCTGCCCTCTTGTTGTTGAGCTCTCTGACTGAACAGTTGATACTAGCAAGGGGATGGCTGCCCAACTCCCACACTGACCAGGAGCAGTCACACCAGGGGTAAGGGGTTGGAAAGAAGCATAATAAATATCACACAGTCAAAATCTAAACTTCCCAAGGCAGAGCTTGATGTCTGGTACAAAACACAGTCTCGAGTCATTGTCACATCTTATGAATTTAAAAGCCGCCAGACACAAAGCCTGCTCTTGCTGGCGTCCGTGCAGACCAAATCGCTGATAACACCGTAATTAGGGCGAGACTGTGCGCTAAAATGAGTTGAGTTTTCTTAATGTGATCAGAGATAGGAAGCCAGGACACTTTCCACCAGGAAATGCTGTGTACCGCTGGCACCAACAAAGAGCATTCATCTGAAGCCACTTTTCCAAACCCAGAGCCAAGAGGCAGAGTCAGGGGCCTCAGGAAGGTGCTCCACATCCACTCCAGCATGACTGTCCTCAGCATGTTGTGTCATTTCTAAGCTGTAAGGACTGAAGTCACCACAAGCCATCAGAACTCAAAGCTGCAGAACTCAAGGCTGGAGCTTTCTCTTTACAAACTCGTTCTTGGGCTTCTCAAGTCATTTGAAAGTCACCTCTACTAAAAATCCTTGATTTAGGAGCTCTTTATTGCTTTAATTTCCAAGACGATAAAAGTCCCAATTTTTCTCTTTTGTGGGGTAGGGAGAAAAAAAATACAATGCATGAATCTATTTGAAATCATTTTTAATTTTAATCATAGCAAATGTGTTTTAACAGTAGTCGTAAAATGAACATTACCACATATACAAAGGACAAGACACCAGTTTGGCATACAAAAATACCATGTATTAAAATCAGGTTCATTGGAAAAACTCAGGACTGGCTAAGACACCATCTATAATAGAGAGAACAAGCAGGAATGCTTTTAAGACATTCAGATTAATAAACAGCAGCTTGGTATCCCCTATGAAGTCAGTATTTGGCAACATTTGGACACAAATTTCTACACTGTCCCACAGCTCATTTATCTGTAGGGCAATTTGGCCCTTTCAAAGAAACGCTCACCAAATAAATAGTCTCTGTGATTAAAAATGAAACATGTCAGGAACTGGAATTAACAACACTAATATCACCATCTGACTGCAGTATGTTATCCAAGACCAGGAAGCCCACACATGGAGCTTTGACAAGGGAAGGGAGCTGATGGTGGTTATATACGTCTTATGTTGGGAGTTTGTGGCCAACTTCCCCAAGCTGACAGCAACTTCCACACCTATGACCATCAAGTGAGGCCACACCAACAAGTGGTGAAATACATATAAATATAATAAATGGCAGCAGCCAGAACATAACCATATGATTCAACAAGTCACAGCATACTAACTGAATTAGTAGTTTCCCACGGGAAAGAGGGTACCAGGCTTCACTTGTACTCACTCCATAGCAGGCTTCGGAATTTTCTATCACCCGGATAACCCAAGAGCATCAGAGAGGGTGACAGAAAAGATGAGAACTCCTTGGGACTGTCCTCATCAGCCAAGCACTTTTCTTCTGTGTCTTCAACCTAAGCATCCTCAACTGAATTTGGTAGTCCATGATGGAATGGTCGGGTTTGAGGAAGTCATCCCAGGTCAAATGTTGCTATTTTCAACTGGCTTCTACCATGGCTGACGGATAGTGCCAAGTTTTCCTTTGAAACTACGATTCCATTACAATTTTTCCCCTCTTTTAAAAAATAGCTTCTCTCTTTGTGGGCAGATCTACCTACCTGTTCAGAGCCCAGGGCTTTGTCTCTACCATCCCCTCAGGTAGGGCTCTTGAGCATTGGGTTGTGTGAGCCCACCTTGCCAGCACAGTGTAAGACAGCAGCCTTACTGTTCAAACAAAGATAACATAACCATCAACTTGCCCCCTGAAGGACATATTTGTCACATGTTTCTGTTTTCCTTTCTACTCCACATTTTCTTGCCATCATTATTTCCAAACTCTTACTACTAGAGTAAGGACTGACTAGTCCCTTCGGAAAGCTCCTGTCAGAATAACACAGTAACTCACTGGGCAGGGAGATTGCAGGAGACTGTCTTGTGGGCTGTAGCCCTCCATCTAGAGATGCGTTCAGAACATGGGGATGGGGAAATGGGGAAAGATCCAGGGTAAGCTGTGTGAAGAACAGAGAAGTCTGCTTTTGGAGCTCTCGGGAGGCCCTCACTTCTCTGCTCTAATAACGATTGTCCCTAATGATATAATATAAATAGTATACATATATATTAAAAAAAAACTTCCTTAGATTAAACTCCAGATAATGAGATAAGCATTTTCAAGCACCACTACAGTGTGAGATGCACACATGGGGATACCCCAGGCAGTGAACAGGGAGCACTCAAAAGACCATTGGCCAAGCAAGCAAGGCAAGGGAAGTGTGCAGAGAAATGGATTCATACTGGAGGACTTCGGGGAGAGTGGTTTACAAATCTTGACACGCAACAGGAACCAAAACAGAAAAAAAGGAAAGAAAAGCTATTCGGTAGTCAGAAATCAACTGTCCCACCTGCTTGGCGCCTCAGTGATCAATCACTTCCCAATGATGTTACATAGGATTAGCCGCCTCTTCACAGATGGAGAAGTCTTAAGAGTTTAAGACACCCCCCAAGGGAGTTGGTTTGATGTGGTGCATGGAGCTCATAGCAGATACTTAAAAATTAATACAGAAATTCAGTACTTCGTGATTCATGAATGAGAAAATAGCGTCGATAATCTTTTCTATTTTAACGCCAATTGCTGCTAAAGTGTTTGTGTGTGTTTGTAGTGTAGTAAGTCAGTTGTGTAAAAAAAATAAATGGCTCGAATTTCCACTTATTTTTCAAGAGTTTCGAGTCGAGAAAGATCCACCAACTATCTCCTTCGAATAAACACCATGAGTAAATTCTTTTGGTTGTCTCATTTTTGCCTGGAATTTCTCTCTGGGTGAAGATCACCCGGCAGGTGATGTTTTACTGATTATGGTGAAAATGTCAAGAAGCAACTTCTCCATCTAAGTCCAGATGGAGGCAGGTCCAGGGTGTGAATCTGACATCTGCTGTGGTTACAGAATGCGGCCTGATCCATAGCATCATTCTTAAGGAAAGAGGACCTGCAGTCGTTTGGGTATCACCCATAGCATATGAATAACCTTTGGCCTCCTAACTTCTGAAAGGCTTACGAAAACACCATTTGGTCAACATGAACATACAAGTTAAAGACAAGCCCCAAAGAGCAGTCTTCCTACTGAATGGCTAAAGCATTGAAAACTCAGCCCAATTCTGCTCCATTAAAGCAAACAATCCTGGTTTCCATTACATTAGGGGGTGGGGATGGGGACAATGAAGAGGCAGGCTAAGCAATTTCACCACCCCAAAGACTTTCAAACAAAGAAACAGAGCACTTTAAATCAAAATCTAAGAGGAATGAATGCCAGACCATCAACTACAGACTGCTTATATGAAAACGTTATCTCAAGCTGAATTCTCTGCTTCCTTTTACCCAAAAGTAATTCTGCAGAATAGCTACAATAACCTTCCACTTTCTAAATTCCATTGGGTCATGGTTTGTTTTTTAACTATAAAAAATGTAAAAAGTGCCTTTGTGCAACGTTAAAACCCTTTTAATGATAACTAAATTTAAGAAGGGAGACACTGAAACAATGTCACATCTCACTCTAAAAATAGTGCCTCATTTTGGCTTGGCATCCAAAAAAGTTACACCCACATATGCCCACACAAACACAATGACAAACTGGCCGACTTCAAGGGCAAACAGAAACACCCTGAACACCGAAAAGCATGCTTGCTTATGGATTTCCTTCCTCACTGGTACAGTGATGAAGTCGGGGAAAGAGATCAAAAGTGAACGGGGATTTCATCAGACCGTTATTTATTTGATTTTCTGTAATACTGAATCCTTTTTGGCCACAAGATCCTAAACACAGTTTCACAGCACAGGTCATGCATAGCTTGCAAGTCAAAAATTTTACAGCTACTGTCTAGCTATGAGCTTTGGACAATAGATTTACATGCAGCTAATGGTCCTGGAAAAGACGCTTATAAAGTTTCCTTTAAGCTTCACTGCTTATTTCTTGGTTCAAAGTATCTAAATAATAATCCCAAAGGACAATGGATGAAATTTCGTTAGCTCCCCCTTCCCCCGGAGCTCATAAACTTCTTTAAGCCTAGAAAGGAATTTCTTTTGGCAAATTGCTACTAGCCTACAAACTCTCTCTTGGCCTCACTGTTACATTGTGAACTTCTTGGTGCCATTATGGCCAATGTGGTCACAAGCCATATAGGAATATTTAACTTTAAATTACTTAAAATTAAATAACATTTAAAAGCCACTTCAGTCATCCCCACTTTATCACCTAACAGCCACGTGGCCAGTGGCCAATCTACTAAACAGCACAGATTATAGAACAATTTCAACCAATCCAAAAAGTTCTATCAAGCAGCACTGACCTAGAAAATTCCAAGAGCTGAACCAACACACAGTTGACACTCCAATAGACCCACTGTGTGAGCCATGCAGAGGTTGAAATGTAGTTACATTTCTAAAAAAAAAAAAAAACAAAAAAAAAAAACCAAAAAACAATACCTCAGATCTTCCCGATAATAAGGTGTGATTGAAACTCAGAACCAATTTGCCTTTGTCATTACAATTTATGTTCCAAGTCATTATACAAAATGTTCTAAAGACAACATATGAAGTGGCATACTTGGCGCTACTTAACACAGTAGGCATTCTCTTGCTTATGTCAAGATCATTAGAGAGAAAATTCATGCTTCTAAATAGTAAATAGGTTACTATTTACACAACACTCATTGTCCTTAACGTATGGGGGCAGGGTCCTGGCCAATGTTTTACGCTTCTAAATATTCAAATCACATGGTTTGAAAGTTTTCTTTTAGCATCTATATTCATCTCTAAATCAACTCTTCTTTTCTTCCCTGAAAGGAAGCTACCTAAAAAGAAATTAATCTCTGAAACAATTCTTAAAACAGTAGCTGACATGGCAAAGGCTTTTATTCATAGGCCCTGTGAAGACTCAAAGCCTGGCAGGGAAGGTGATGTACCCAGGGAAGAAAAACAGCACAGCACCACACAGGTCTTGTCCTCTAGCTGCAGAATTACAACTTGCACACTCCTCTCCACTCCTCCCTCCATGAGCTCACCTACAAGAGGAAGCCACTAGAGGCTCCTTTCGCGTATCACTGGTGTGTCTGCCACTGGCACACAACTCCAAGCCCTGCTGCTTGTGATAGGTTTTTAGTGTTGTGGGTAGATTCCAGAAGAAGCTGAAACATCAAGGATATAGAAATTGGCAGGCCTCCCCACACCCTTTCTAACACACACACACACACACACACACACACACACAGGAATGCACACATATGCAACCATAGGCAGAATCCATTTCAACAGTTTTAAATAATGTTTCTCAGATCAAGCACACATAGAAAGGCTCTGACTTGGGTTATTACTGTCAGGTTGTAAGGTCAAGATTCTACCAGGAAGCAAACTGACTTTGCTTAATTGCAGCTCTAACATGGACTGTTTTTCAGTAAAGGTTTTGTGGACATTTTTACTATACAGCTTGGCAATAAAAAACACAGGGCACCATGTCAACACATACATTAGTGTCTACAAATAGCTTCCTAAAGAACTAGAATTCTATCACACACTGCACTATAGGGTCATTCATTTTCTACTGTATAGAAAGGTATGCAAACATCTCTCACAAATTAATTTAAATTATGGCCTGGCTTAAAACTGCAAGGCTAATGTTATGTTTCCAATGCAACATTTCTGTCTATGTGTGTTTGCCCCTCCAAGAAAAATAGAAATTAGGTCAGACATGCGTTATAGCAGCCTGGGAGTTTGAGAAATTGACGCTAACCCAACAGTATATTATGTTACATAATAGAGGACAGTTTTCAGCTAAAATGATACCTAAATTATTAATACCAAATAAATCCTAGATTATTTGTTGTATAATGCCCAATAGCTTACACAATAAAATGGTATTTTAACCTAATTTCTAGTTTGAGCCCTCAAATACATTTTTTTTCTAAAGGTCTTACAAATTTGAAAGATTTTAAAAACCAGAGCTCATAATTTGATGTTGAATTTTCATGCCAATTGTTAGCTTTGTATTACAGCTATCATTTGTTTGCTTTATCTCATAGCAATGACATCACCTTAGCACACATCTGCCGTGCTGCTTGAAGATGGAGGTTACCGTGCAAACACACTGCCTCTATCTTACAAGGCTGTTTCTGACCTTGCTTTTCAGAGCCCGCCTATCATTGCTTACCTTTCCATTGCTTTTCCCAGCCTTCCATTTCAGGGATTCCACAGAACAGCAAAGACTGATACATTTGAATGGATTCCTTGGCTAATATCACTAGCTTCTTAGTTCCACAAAGAGTTTGAAGAGGACCATAGAGCTCATAGCCATATCCGAATGCACACACAGCCAGGGACAGGGACATCTTTCTTCATCAATTCACATTTAAAAATAGTTGCGCACTCATAAGAAATTGGCCCACTTACATACAGAACATGAATTTTTGTTTTCCATGCTACTTTTGTCAGTAGAAACATTTTGAAATACAAAACATTTTCTTGCTGATTCCAACAAGATGAAATTGAGATTCTAAGTGAGTTAAGTCTTACAGGACTATCTTTCAAAAAAAATGATCATCAAGGACTGTCTATTAAAATGCCCAACTAGGTGTGTCATTAATTAGCAACACTTGTGACTTTTACACAGAGCCCTCCAAACTGAGGGAAAATGACAGGTTCTTCTGATGTTGTCTGTCCATGTTTTACTGCAACACACAGCAAAGCGGCAAGTGAGTGTTGGAGGTGATGTGGGATGGGGGTGGGAGTTCCCAAAGGGAAAGATCCAGGAACTGACCAGGAGGCTGGTGTTTCAGACTCCTGGCATATGCATGCCCTCAAAGTCTTACTCTCAGGATTCTTCAGGAAAAACTCAAAAACCTGAGGTAAATCAAATTATATACACACACACACACTATGCACACAGAGTCACAATATTTACATTTTAAATTCTTATTTTGTGAGATGGCTTGAGAAAAATTGGCAGATAGGTTTCCTGGGGAATTAGGCATTTCTCGCTATTTCCCAGTTCATCACTCTCCTGTTGGGCTTCCAGTGTCACAGGCAGCAAGCTCTAATCATAAGAAGAGAAATGGGGCACACAGCAAAACACAGCACACTGCGGACACGTGGTCAAATATTTTCTTCTAACAGTCAAAAGGTCTGTTTTGATTATTTTGATTTGGGTGCCATTCAAAATGTATAAAAAGTTCATGAAGACCAGGGTTCAGTAATACACACACACACACACACACACACACACACACACACACACACACAAAGCAGCCAGTTCTGCGTCTTCACTGTTTTCTGTTTTAAACATGGATTTGAGGTTTGCTTCTACTTGTGTACACAGCATCTGGTTTAACCTACCATCTACTGTATTTAGAGAGCTCATTGCACCCACACGAACAGTTTCATGTCTAAGTAGAAAAGTCTAACTTGGGAACATGATTTTGGAAAATCATAAATTACAGCCCATTGACTACACAATTATGAGGAAGCATGCAGACATCTTCACAGCCATCACCATCTTCAAACAGTTCTCCTGGGATCTTGCTGAGCCCTCACCCTCTGCCCTTGTCTTCAGGTGAATCAAGTGGCCAGTCACAGGCCAGCACTTGCACCAAATGGTCAGTGTCACCCCCATCTCATCACAGGGATCCCCTCACCAACACCCTGCTCACCCCCCTAAGTTGGCACCCGCAAGAGGCATCCCTGTGACAGGCTTCAACCACAGGATATCACAGTGAAGCGCTTAGAGATGCAGGACATGTTGTGTAGCACAATGCCCAGGAGGAAGACCAAAACACAGGCTACCAGGATGACAGTGCACACGCCAGACCACGTGGAGCTCTTCACCGCCCCTCGCCTGTCGGGCTCCTCCTCCGCGGCTTCCTGGGCGGCTCCGCCGCCCTGCAGCGGCTGCTGTTCCGCAGGGATGGTGACCACGGTGAGGGACTTCTGCTGGCTCCCGGGTAGCAGGCGGCAGCCCATGTCTCCGGGCAGAAGCGTGCGCTCCTTAGAGATGGGCAAGGGCAGCATGTAGCACCCGTTGCTTGGAAGTTTGATGAAGACTGGGGTGTGCTCGGAAGTGTGTGGGATGGCGATGACTGCCAGGACCTCGGGGTCGTCTGGTAGCTGCGACACAGAGAAGCCCGGGGGCAACTTGGTGATGCCACGGCACCAGGGGCACCTGACGTCCTTCTGGCTGGTCCTCATCTGCTGGAGGCACACCGAGCAGCAAGTGTGTTTGCAGTCCAGCAGCTTGGGCCTTCGTCGGGGGCTGTAATAATTAAAACAGATCTGACATTCCAGCAGGGAATCCTGGGAGAGCGTCTCCATCGTGGACCAATAGGCAAAGGGCAGGGGCAACGGGAAGGTGAAAGAGCCGATTCTCAAAAGTCACCACCCTGGGTGGGTCTTCTCAAGGTCACCAGGGGATCAGCAAGCTCGTGGGCATCTAGCACTCATACATGTGCTAATTTCTGAGGGAGAAAAAAAGAATGTAAATGAAATTAATGAATCCGTTAATTAAGTAATTAAGACATTGCAATGTGGATTAGTTAAAACAGAACATAGCTCAAAAATCTTGTTCCTGGGTCCATCTTAAAAACATCCCACTGGTGAGACTGTAGGGTTCTTGTAATGCCCACTGGGTAATCAAATACAATTCCTTGCCTTTATTTGCGTAAGCCCCTCTTGTTTTATGACCACTCCTTTCTTTAATTATACTCCCACAAATTAGTGGGGCACAATGCTGTGTTCATGCTGTGCAGTGATGAAATCAGGTTAACTAGCGAATTCCATCGCCTCGAAGATTTACCGTTTCCTTTTCCTTTTTGTGCCACTGTCTGTGTAAGCCCAAAGCCAACAACCAGGAGTTTTCCTGTTTCTCTCCAAACTAGTCATTGAGGCAGGCATTCTCAGTTGAACACAGGGCTTGCTCCTCAGCCAGCCTAGCTAGCTTGCTTGCTTACCCAGGGGTCCCTGTCTCTGCCCTCTAAGTGCTGGGTATAAAGGAAGTAACCACACCTACCAAGCTGGGAGCTCGGGATCCAACCACTGGTCCTCACATTTGCGTGGCAGGTAGTTTATCTGCCAGCATCGTTTCTCTTTTTACCAGCTTGTGTGGATTACACAAAGGAAGGGGTCTCATTGTGACATTTGCAGGCAGGCAGACAGTACGCTCCTTTCTCAGAGCGGATTGAAATAACCCCACAGGCAGAAGCACACAAAGCCCATCTTTTTATCTCTTTCTCCAAACACCTTTAGCGAGATAATTCTTATCAATACATTTAAAAAAGAGACCAAAAGAACAGAAGGAGAAATGCACAACAAAAGCAGGGCTGCGATGGACCTAGAAGCACTGCAGGCAAGAGGCAGCCCCACAGAAAAACCACAAGTCAGTTCTCTCAATTTCATGATTATTTAGGCTTGCCTGACTAAAAGCTTAAACTCTGTGAGATTTTCAACATAGTGGGGAGTGAGCCCAGTGCTTCGCACATGCTAGAAATGTGCTTTACCACAGAGTTATACCCCCAGGTCCTAAAAGCAAATGCTCTTAACTCAGCCATCTCAATTGTTTGTAAAGAACTAATGGAAGGATATCCATATCTATCTATCTATCTATCTATCTATCTATCTATCTATCTATCTATCTATCTATGTGCATAGGCCTTCCTGGTCTCAAGGGGAGAAGTGGATACTTATTGAAATGGAAATGAGGTTTGAGGGCCCCCTCTGTCCTTCAGTTTTTCAACAAAGGCTGCTCAGGTCTGTTTCCTGTCAAAAAGCATCCATATTCTACTTCTTTGCATGGAGTCATGATTCTGGAAAGAACTATTTGCCATGAGCCTCTTATATGTCCAATTTAATTTTCTTTGTGAAATTAAAAACAACCACCCACTTTGATATACACATTGTTGAAATTAAAGATTTAGAATGCATGAAAAACAACCCAGTTTGAAGACCAAAAGTATGTGCCAAAGGAGATGGCTCAAAGGGTAAAGGCACTTGCCATGAAATCCTGGCAACTTCAGTTCAGATGAAAAGTAGCTGGAACTGGCAGCCCACATGTGTCCTACCAGCACTGCAAACTACAGTGAAATGGGGAGCAGACGCAGAACTGCCCAGAAGCGAGGCCAGCTAGCGTGGAGTTCACAGCACCGCAGCAGAAACAAGAGCGACCTTGCCTCAAACAAGGTAGGGGGAGACTCACGAGAGATGTGCACCAGAGGCATACCATACAAAAATTAGTCACTGATAAAATTAGATGATTTAGAGAGAAACACACTTTCATGTGTTAAACACACCTATTTTAATATTTTATTAGAACCCAAATTAATAATACAACATTCAGAAAGTCCATATCAGAATCAACCACATCTCTAACCACTAATCTGAGTGGTCAGTCATGTAAAAGGAGATAGCACTGTGGTAAAGATACATATATGTGTGAGCACACATGTTCATGTGTGTTCACATGCATGTGGAAGTCACAGGAAACCTCCAGTGTCGTTATTAGTCACCTTCCACATTTTTGTTTTGAGACACCCTCTCTTATTAGCCTGGAATTTCACCAACAGTCTAGACAAGCTGGCGAAAGAGCCCTCCTGCCAGCAAGCCCTGCTTCCACAGAGCTGCCAAGGGTCCTCCTACCTTCACCTCCTTTGTGGCATCATTGGGGTTACAAGTGTATGCCACTCTACCCCGCTTTTTATACCTGTCTTGTAGCTAAGATTTAGTATCTGCCTACAGATAGTCCCAAAGTAGAGCTGGGAGCGCTAACCACATAAGCATTGTTACACTGTGTCAGAAGAGCTGGGGGAGTTAACAATGCCTAGCAAAAAAAAAAAAAAAATCTGAGCTATAGAGAAGGCTGTGGCATGCCGAGTAAGAGGCTAGGCAGGCTGTTTTCAGGTTAAGAAAACAAACGTGAGCACAGAAAACAACAGCGGCCATTCTCTTCCACCTCCCACGTTAGTTGCAGAGTTTTATCCGGTACTAGAATGACTTGCAGGTGTCTTCTCAAAGAATTTTATAGCTTTAGCTCTTTTCCTATGCTTGGTCTTTGACACAGACACCATCAAAAGAAAGAAAACAGCGGCTCAGCATTAGAATGTTTCCCTAGCATGTACTGGGCCCTGAATTCAATACCTTGGATGATCAATAGATACATTAAGGGTTGGGGAAATAGCACAGTGACAGAATGAATTCCAAGTTATCCTCAGTAAATGAAGGGTAAAATAAATAAGTTATTTCTCAAAAAGCCTACTCTCTGAGGACTCTCCCACAGGCCAGGACAGCAGATCCCACAGGCTAGAAAAAGAAGGCAGCACAGGCTATAGACTGAAGACTGTGGCCAGCATCAAGTGGCAGGCATTCGGCTTTATTTGCAGGCAATGGAAAAACACCAAAAAGTTTAAAAGTAAGATGGATTCATCTGGGCCAGGCTGGAAAGACCCGTGAGCAGACTATCAAGTTAGACAGAGAGGCGCCATGCCTTGGGTAAACAAGATGAGAAGAAAAGTGCTAAGATATTTTTATGAATGTTGACACAAAAACACAGGTCTCATCTTAAAGAGAGTAGAGGTAGGTTATTCTGGAGCCGTTTTGAACGACCACAGCCTGGGAACACAGATTTAAGTTATCCCAAATTCCATGTGTCAATGTGGAAATAGTTTTCCACAGTTTTACAGAACAAAGAAAGTGATAAATGGAGGCAAGTTTAAAATACATTGGTGGGTATAGCAGAGAGGCGAGTACAACAGACTACCAGTTTGCCCCAACCCCAAAGCTAAGAATGTCATCAAACAGCATCTTAGGTCCACAGAAAAGCTTCCCCCATCTCGCTGTAACTGCTTCTCTGTCATTAGATAGTCACAGGATAGTCACATTCCTTTTTGACCTTTGTTGAAAATGGCTGTCTTGTGGCTAAAGCTACCCTAAGGTAAGGTTATTAGCCTCTGACAACCTGCAACATTCCAAATGTCACTATAGTTCCAACCAGGTTTTGAAAACACAGCTTCTTTTTTCCCCCACAACACAATGTTTTTATTAACTATTTTGGAATTCCATACAATGCACCCTGATCACACTTGCTTTTCATTCCTTCCAGGTCCACCCTTCGACCATTTGCCCCACCCACAAAAAAAAAAGTAAGTTCAATTTGTGTTGCTCATATAATCATTGGAGCCTGGTCAAAGTTCCAGTGGCCAGCCCTTTAAAAAGAGTTCGCCCTCTCATAGAGTAGAATCAGGCAATGCACTGCAATGAAGAGGTGGGTCACAGTCATGAAGAGGTAAAACCAAAGCCTTGAAAGGAACACCACGTCACTAAGAGAAATAGAGATGACCTGCGACCAGTTTGTTTAGGATATATTCCATTGCAAGTTCCAGGAAGGACATAATAGGCTGGATGATAGTCACAGGAATGTGAGCAACAGGCTCAGAAAAGTTGTGTAGAAACTAGAAAGAAAGATTTGGTGCATTGCTCCCGTGGGCCATCAGAAATGGGGTATGGAGTCCTGTAGATGTGGCCACTCCCTAGTGGGTAGTCTTCCCTCCGCCCTACGCAAGGTGAGTAGCCACACCTAAACCACCACGATGCTAACGGCTGAAGAATCTTTCTGTAGATTTATAAAACTCAAAACACAGTGAGCTTTAAATTACATCAGCCCAGGACACTGCCATTATTCTCTAATCTGCTCATCAACGGATACAACGCGTGTCAATTGCTGTGTGGATGACTTTGCAGAAAAGTGGTGCTTGCTTATAGAACTACAGGAACAAGTCCCAGGAGGCTGAGTTCATAGAACACAAACAAAATAGGGACACACATGCCCTTAACAAGAAAAACTTAAGGGTCTTCTTACCTTCTTGCCCCTTGTCTAGTTCCTTCTCCCCTTCCTGAGAAAACAAAAAGCACCCTTTCGGCACCTGAGCATGATGAAGCTTTGAAGCCTTACCATCTTCTCAGGATGCCTGCCACTGAAGAAAACTCACAACCTTCCTTCCCAGATATTTGTCTGCTGAGCACTTGCTTTTGATTGTGAGCATCATAGATGTGGATCTAGTGACACTTCTTCTAATTTTGTAACCAGGATAATTAACTTATTTTTCTTACAGAAAGCAAAACCAAAATCTCCCCAAGGTGTGTTGATAAATCCCACCCTTAGGTACTCTTAGTGTGAAACTCACTGACAAAGATCAAGCCATGGCATGACCCACGGGTGGTGAATGTCAAGCCATAGTGTGACATAGATAGTCAATGTGCACACAGGGAAGGAGAGGCGACTTTGAGCTATGATAGTGTGGGGGGGTAGGACAGAGGGACCACAGGAAACTATTAAAATGATAAATTCCTGAAATTTTATGAAAGACCTTTCCTTAACAACTATACCCAAGAAAACACCCTCCACCCACACCGTAAATACAGTTGAAGACAAATGTTTCATGACACCAAATCACAGATGTCAATCTACTGA